GCCCGCCGCGCGCGCTCCCTGGCGGGCCGCCCCGCGCCCTGGCGCCGCTCGCCAATGAAGCCCGGGCTCGCCCCGACGGGCCCCAGCGCCGCCTGCCTGGGGCTGCCGCCGCGCCGCGCTCCCGTGGGGGGGCCGCGCGTGGGATCTGCTGAACGCATCCCGGCTTCAAACGGATCCCTCCAATGAAAACATTTCTTCTTCTTCTCCTCCTTCTCCTTTTTTTCACTTCCTTTCTTTTTTCTTTTTCTTTCTTCTTTTCCTTTTCCTTTTCCTTTTCCTTTTCCTTTTCCTTTTCCTTTTCCTTTTCCTTTTCCTTTTCCTTTTTTCCTTTTTTCCTTTTTTCTTTCTTCCTTTGCTTTTTCTTCCTTTGCCTTTTCTTCCTTTTTTTTTTTTTTTTTTTTGCGAGGCATTTTGTCATGCGTTCAGCATCTAGCAGGTCTTTGCAGAGGCGGTGTTTCAAGTTCCTTTCAGCAGTGCCCGTAAAAAGTTCGAGTTGAACTGGAGAGAAATAAATAAATAAATAAATAAATAAATAAATAAATAAATAAATGAAAATACAATGAACTGCATTAAAAAGCACAAGAAGTATCACTTCTAACATTTCTCCACGGCTTGCAATGTAAAGACGCCTTCTGATGAGCGTCCCGACTGGCATCCTCGGGTCTCCCTGCACTCATGGTGCAACCCGGCAGTTTGGAGCAGGCTTCAGTAAGCTGCGCTTGCCCTGGAGCTGTGTTGGGCCCGGCCCAGGACTGCCGTGGYGGTGGCTGGAGGGCTCCGTCCTGCCCAGCCAAACTCCGTTAGCCTCTCCGGTTTTGACACGTTTTCCCGAGCAAGGCGACCTCCGTTCTTGTTCTCCTCGCCCTGCTCGCAGAACCGGCCAAGCCGCTTTACCGCTATTTTACTGCCAGAGCGGATTTGTGGTTCCAGCCTGGAGAGGTTCTAGGGAATAGAAAACACGGGGTTTAGTGGAGAGGTATTAACCACGACATTGCCAGTTCTGGCTGGGCCAGCACTGAAGAGCAGCGTAAAAGAGCCATTAAAAGTATAAAAGTTGGGGGGCTGAGCCCCAAACCTTTGCCACCCATTGGCACAAAGATTTGATGATACATACACAAATTTGGGTGCCTTAATTGGGCTATAGTAGGGAGTGGTGGCACTGCCACGCTCATCCCACTGCCCCTTTGGCTCCCTGCCTGGGAGCTCCTGTGCTCGACCACGTGCCCAGCACGGAGCCTGTCACACGCGTGGCCCTTAGCTGTGGCTGCGGGTCCCTTATGCAGAGGCTGTGCCCCAGTGAACTGAGCAGAGGGCAGAGATCTGCTCTAAATCCCATGGAYGCAGCCGGTCCCCAAGTGTCCCCGGGCCGAGGGGGCAGCCGAGCTCGGCGTGGAGCTGCCGGCAGCTCAGCCGCGGCTAGGGCAGGGTATTCCCGCTAGCAGCGCAGTCTGGAAGCGTTTCAGCCCAAGCCAGGCCACTTCCCCGGCTTTTCTGCCCTCTCCTCAGTGCTGTTTGCAGGGAGAGCTTAGGCTTGTCCGTGTCCGAGTTGGGCAGTGCTGAGTCAGGCTCCTGGGGAGCCCCTTTCCGCTCGCAGAGCTTTGACCAGCAAAGTCATTGCCATGTTGGAGAGAAGAGCCCTGGCGTGTGAACGTGTTGGAGACCCAGCACACTGGGCGAAAGAGCTGCTTTCTGCAGCTCTGAGCTGTCCTTGTGCCCCTGTATCCCTGAAAATGGTCCTGGGGACTGGAAGGTCCAGCTGGGTTTGAACATCCGCAGGGATGGAGACTCCACCGCCTCTCCGGACACCGTGTGCTCAAGGCCCTCGCAGTACAGACACGTTTTCTTGCGTCGCGTGGTGTTTACCGTGGGTCACTTGGCGCCTGTTGCCTCTTGCCCTGTAGTGGGCACCAGAGCTGGCAGCGCCCGCCCCGCACGGCGCTCRCAGAGGAGCGGAGCCCACACGAGACCTTCCCCACAGCAGGGAACACGCAGCGTTTGTGCCCGGGGAGGCCCAGGCCCCCAGCGAGGCCCAGCAAGGCCTACAGGAGGGGGCCGCTCCCGCCCACTGGCCCCTGGAGCGAGGCCGAGGGCCCCGCAAGCCGTGGGGGCCAGGGCCGCGAGCGCACGCGGCTGCCGCGGCAGCGCGGACCTGCCTCTCRCTTCCCTCGTGCTGCAGGAAACAGGCGCTGCCGCCGTCGCCAGCGCCGCAGCTCGCTCGATYGCTACCAGATGTGGGTCCCATGCGCTTCTCATTAGCGTGGCAGGAGGCTCTGCCTCCCCCAGCCTCGCTGAGCTGGGCCTTGGCCCCTGGTGGGAGTGTGGGGCAGGATGGCCACGAGCGTGGTGGGGATGGACCCGTGAGCGAGAGGTGCCCGGGGGAGCAGCCGGCCCCAGCGCTGGCCGTGCACGGAGGAAGCTGCGGGTGGCACGTCGGGGCCCGAGCTGTGGGCGCAGCCCTGAGCTGCTTTGGGCAGCCCAGGAAGGGCCTTGGCCGGCCTGGGTTAAGCTACGGAGGGACCCGGACACAGCAGGAAAGCTCCCGCTGTCCCGCTGCTGCTCAGCCGCCCACGCAGCACCAGGGAAGCAGCGGGGGCCCGTGCCCTGCAACCAGCTTTGCAGAGTCATCCCGGGTCTCCGTGGGAAGCAGAGGCCCCCGAGGGCTCCCCGTGCTGCCAAGAGCCCCTTCCTGCTGCCCCTCCGCCTGCAGGTCCCCTGGAGGGAAAGCCTGCGGGGATGGACATGTCACCAGGCTTGGTTTCCAGAGATGCCAGTGGTGGATGATTCACTGCACACTTAGGGAGGGCAGCAGGGAAGCTCCTTCCCTCYGCATCCCGTAAAGTCTCTTTCCCTGTCCCCAGATCCCCCTGGCTTCCAGGGATCAGCCTTTCCACAGCTCTGCTGGTCTCCTGACGCACCCAGTCAAGGCAAAGGGAGCAGAGGGCACAAACACAGGCAGGAAAATCTCTTACTCTTCTAACTGCAGACGTTTCAGTCAGGATTAATCCTACGGAGAAACCCGAGCACAAACGATCCCCCAGGAGGCTTTGCCGGAGCCCGGTGTCCCCGGCGTCGAGCTGTCCCATTGCCACGACTGAGTCACCGGCTCCAGCCCCTGGGGCTGCCGGCACTGCGGCTTTACCAGGCAGGGGAAGCTGATGCACTGCGGCTTCTGCTGGCCAGGAGAAGCCTGTGGGATGGCGCGCTAAGGGGCGAGAGCCGGGGCCGCGTGCCCAGAGCCCTGCTCGTCCGGCGCCCGCGGGGCCCGCTGGGCTGCCCTGCTGTGGACGGGTCTTGGGCGCCCTGCCCTGCGCCTGGCCACGGTGCCGCTACAGCTCCTCTCGTGCACGCGCTCCAGCGTGTGGGTCTGCAGCGGGAGAGATGGTCACGGGAATAATTGGATGCAGAGGCTCCGAGCGGAGGCTGTGCCAGACGGGAAGTGGGAAAGTGGAGGCTTTCTTCAAAAACAGCGGCTYGTCTTTTTGGATGGGGTCCGGTGTYTGCAGCRGCTCCCTAGAGTCGSYCTCCGCCAGCTTCTCCTTGGACCCTCAGCTCTGGCAGCAGCCCTTGGTCCCCATCCTCTGCAGCCCTCGCCACTGCTGCCCTCCTCCCCGCTTTTTCCTCCAGGGATGCTCTTGTCCGCTCCTCAACCATAGTGGCTTCGCGGCGCCGCCTTCCCTCCTCTTTCTGCCCCTCTGCTCCGGGGAGCACTGTCCTACCGGCATCGCCAGSGTAGATTTATTTCATCTTTGCTTCTCCTTGTGCCCGCACAAACACTCGTCTCCYTGCTCCTGCCATGGCCAATCTCCAGATCTCCCAAGATCCTGATCTCCCAGATGCTAGCAAGCGTGGCCTGGGAGGACCTCATCTTGCACGGAGCTCCAGCCGCTGCCTCTGTTTCCAAGCACTGCCGTGGAGACCTTGTGCTAGAAAGGGTTCCTGGGCAGGCAGCAAATTTGGGATCAGTAGTTTTGGACATTGATTCAAAAATGAAACCTGACAGACACCCGAAAATGGACGATGACCAAATCAAACACCAGATGAGTTCATCCTGTGCCATAGAAATGYAGGAAGTCAGGCAGGGGAAGTCAGGCGGGAGAGGGAGTCTCCCAGCTGCCTCATCTGGATTCATTCAGAGTTCAACCTCATGTAGTAAATTGTCCTCCCACTATGGCCTCAGGAGCTGAACACCTGAACAGCATTTTCCCCCAGGAGTTAAGATAAGATGTGGAGTCAGATGGTCCCACTCGCTATGTCCAAATGTGGCTGGAGGACAACATGAAACCTCTGTGGCAGAGATCTTCCATCCTATGGGCTCTCCTGGATGAGCTGTGTGGACGATCTGCGCCACGTGAAGCTTCCACACGCCCTTCCTGACCTGCTGGGAACTCCGCTGGAGGCTGCAGCTCCTGGTGCAGGGGCTGAAAAGGAAGCAGGCAGAGCAAGGACTGCCTCACTGCAGAGATCGCCTGGGCTGCCAAACATCAGGCCTGGAAAAGCTGGATTTGACCTGAAGGAAGGAGCAACATGTCATCAGAAGCTTGTCAGGAAACATGCTCGCACTTTGATTTTTTGAGTTGAGCAACTATCAGAACTTGGATGTGATGCCGTCTATGCGCATGCATCCTGACTTTCCTCCAGGMGCCTGCTTCCAAGGGAGGAGAGCAGAATGCATGGCCAGGATGAAATCCATGTTATCTGGGACTGAGCAGCCCAACATGGTGCTCCTGGCCCAGGAGCTACTTGCGTTTGTGCCCCCTAGAGAACAGAAGAGTTGCCAGAAGCTTGTCAGAGAAGTGTGTGACCCGGCTAGGACTTACGCATAGTGGCCGAGGGCTGGTAGGGGCGCAGAAGGACTCAAGGGGTRCAGAAGGACTCGAGGGATGCAGAAAGACTCGAGGGGTGCAGAAGGACCTAAGGGATGCAGAAGCACTCTATGAACTCAGAAGGACTCAAGGGGCGCAATGGGCTGCGTGGCAGCCATCCCCATCCAGCTCCTTGGCCTGGGGCTGCCTCTTTGCTGGCCGTGCCTCTCTTTTTAGGCAGCCTGACATCTGGGAATAGCTGGGGACAAATCCCGGAGTGTCCCAGCGCCTTCGCGCTGATCAGCCCTATGGAGGCCACCTTGGGGCAGGCTCTCGGCATCCCCCTGCCTCTCCCCTGTGCCGGAGCTTGGAGCCGGCGCCGGGGGCCGGCACCTGCGGACAAGGAGCCTATTCAGCGCYGCAGCCGGGGCCCCGGGGCCCCCGTATCCTGCACGGCCCCTTTGCCTCCGCGCAGAGCGCGTGTCCAGCCGCGAGCAGCAGCCCAGGCCGATCATGTGGCTCCTAATGAGATCCAGACGCTGGCGGAGCGATGACACCGCGCCGTGATTTGTGCTCCCAGGCAGACTAAACAAGCAGAGGCGCTTCGTGGGGCGGCCAGGCGGGTGCAAGGCGGGAGCAACCAGGCAGCGGCGCTGCGGCTGCCTCCTGCCTTTGCTGCTGCTCCTGGTGCTTCTTCTCTGCCTCCAAGGGCTTGGGTGCAGCATGCTCATGCTGCAGTGTCACGGGGTTCCTCAGGAGCTTTACATGGTGCTCCAAAAAGCTGGATTCAGGCACTTGGAGCCCTTCAGAGATGGCTCCGGCTCCCCATGGTTTGCACCAAAAAAAAGGCATTTGCAGCCCAGAAACACCAGAGCTGCTGCACTCGAGCTTTAAAACCTTCACTCACCCAGTGGAGCCTGGAGTGTGTCCAGGGGGCCTAGGGGACCAACTACTCATGTGGGTTCAGGGCAGCCTCAGCCTCATCCCACAAAAAGCGGCCGCAACTCACCTTCCARTCCCATATTTTAGTCCCAAAGCAGTGTGAGGTGGGAAAATGCCCCTGTTCCACCGGGAGCAGGCAGTTAACCCGCACTAGGGCTGGGGGTCGGGGAAAGGAGCCCGGCAGAGGACGTCCGCCGCTGAGCGGGGCGGTCGGTGTTTCTTCTCCAGCCGGACCTCCCCTCCTCGTTTCRGATTTCAGCATTTTGCACTGCGCATTTTGGCGTTTCTGCTTCCTCTACTGAGCRCCGCTGAAAGGTTCTCCACTGGCGCTCGGGTTTGTTTTTCCTTATCCAACCCCGGAGCTGCGAGAAACCTCCTCTGACTGCAGAAAGCTGAGGAGCAGGAAAAGGGAAAACGGGAAACTCCAACCCTCCCTGCGCCTCCGGCTTGAACGTGCCTCAGGAGAGAGGACTGCAGGAACCAAATCTGTCCTTGGCCTAGGAGGAAAGGAGAATTGGGTGCAAATGGGCAGAAAAAGGCTCTGCCGTGTGCCAGGTTAAAGGTCCTCACGCAGCCCCATAGCTCCAGGCAGCAGCTCCTGGAACTGCTGCACCCTGCAGCGCTCATGGGGAGCCGAGCTGGTGTTTCTGTGCGAAGCCCTCCGAGAAGGGCTTCTCCATGGCTCTTTATTTAGACTCAGATGTCCCCAAGACCCCCAGGGACCACGCTGAGGTCACCCATCGCTATGGCAATGCCTGCGAAATGAGCCGGGTGAAGTGGCCCCGGCAAACCCTCCTCGGGGTGACACCCCGCGGGGTGACGCCAACGCTGACCCCCGGCTGCAGCGAGTCCCTCGAGAGCGGAGTTTGGCCCGTGCAAGGAGGACACTGATGTGGCTGGAGGTCGTTTGGGAGCCCTAGGCTGTGGATAGGCCGGGAGCAGAGCTGGGCAGCCCTCCCGTGGCTCCTGGGAGCAGCCTCTGCCGGGGCCAGCAGCTTTCCCTCTTCCTCTGGCACTGCAGAACGGCTGCAGAGGCTCTCCAAGGGCACCAAAGTGGCCCGTCCCCTCCACGGCTGATCCGGGTTTGCAAAGACCCGAAGGACAAAAGTGACATCTCCCTGCCCATTCCCCTGGGAATGTGTCCCACATTTGCTCCCTTGAGCCATTGCATCCATTTGGAGGGATAAGGAAGAAAGGAAGAGAGGGCCAAATCCCTAGGTGCAACATTTATCTACATGAAAAACAGGGACTTATGCATCACTATATGAAATATAGGCTGCTTATACATGTATTTCCATATCTATTCACTCTGGTTTCTGCCTTGCTGGAGTTCCCTGAGCCCATAGCAAGAGTAACTTCTCCCTCACAACATGAAATACCGCTGGCACTGCTGTTCCCCCTTCCAGAAAGTATTTAGAGGGAATTTTCTTATATAATCTTGAGAGCTCATTGTCTCATGCATATTTCATTCTGATTTGCATTTCCCTTTAGAGTTTATTTTTGGTAGGGCCTGAAATAGGAAACGAATCGTTGGCAACGGGTCCGTTTTTATCGCAGCTCTCTGGCCAAGCCAAAACAAATGTGCTGCTTTCCAACCCACCAACTCCTTTTTCAGCTCCGAAAAGCAGGAAGAAATGGGAAGAATATTGATTTTGCAGCTTTGATGGAGGGGGGAAGGACTCCCAGGGTGGGGGTGTCGCTGTTTAGACCACCCAGCCTGAAAGGTGCCTCACAGCTGCTGGGTACTYGGCCCTCCTCATCTAGCACCGGCACTTGAGCTGAGCGTCAAGTCCATCAAAGCATGTCCGAAGGAGGGCAACGAAGCTGGTGCAGGGGCTGGAGGCCAGAGCCTGTGAGGAGCGGCTGGTGGAACTGGGTTATTTGGTGTGGAGAGAGACCTTATCACTCTCTACAGCCACCTGGAAGGAGGCTGCAGTGAGGTGGGGGGTCAACCTCTTCTCCAGAATGACTACGGCTAGGAGGGCAGTGCTTCCCTGGCACTGACCCTGCGGAGTTGGGGAAGCTCCGTCCTTGGAGGCCTCCAAGAGCAGCCTAGGCCAAGCCTTGGTACGGAGCTGGTGACATTCCTGCCTTGCGGCGGTCGTGGGCAGAGCTCAGGGGCAGACTCTTACCCGGAGGCTGGTCAGCCCAGCGGGCTAAGCCTTGGCATTTGCTCCCAGGTGCTGGTGCTGAGGAGCTTCAAGGAGGAGACCCCACTCCTCAGCTCGCCCCATGCAGCCTGCGGGGAGCCCGGGGGCTGCAGATGCACATCCCCTCTCGCTGCACTTGTGGGGACCACGTTTCTCTGTCCCCCGGGGCATGAAAAGCTCCCGTCATCAGAGACATTACCCACTCGGGGGGTGACGGCTCCAACCGTGTGGAGGGCCGGGTGAGGCCGTTGGCTGGGAGGGCAATGGCCGGTCCCGCYGCGCTGCCGCGCTCCATCTCCTGGCCCAGGCCCTTACCCAGCCGGGGAGCAGCAGCAGGAGTGCCGGGACCAGCATCCTGCCCCAGTGCTGCCCCCAGCACGTTGCTGCATCCCCGGTTGCTGAGCACAGGCAGGGGAGGCCTCGTCCGTGCCCACCGACACCAGGGGCCTGACGGAAGCGGGGCCTGACCGTCTCTGTCCCCATGGGTCCGCGCCGCCGAGGATGGGGACGGCGCTGCCTGCAACACGCAGAGACGGCACCGCGTACGGGAGAAATACACTTTTATTAGAAAAGCTTTCTGCAGAGATGCCAGGCTCTGTCGTACCAAACGAATCCGTCCAACTCCACCGTAGCCGGGACAGGGCGTCCAGGCTCGGGCCATGAACAGCGCTCTCCTCGCAGCCGCTGCCGCCGGCAGGAAGAGCCTGGGGCGCGGAGGGGGCATCAGTCGAAACCAGCTCGACCTGGCGCTGCCGGGGCAGCGTGGCCGGGGCGGGACGGCGCCTGCAAGCACGTGACTCCGTTACTGCGGGTTATAACACGGGCACGTCTAGTACAACAAGTGCTGCGTAGGCGGTTCGATAATACTGCTACAAAGGGGGGAGCCGCGCGGGCCCCGGCTCCTCAGCCGGGCTCCGGCAGCGCCTGCTCCGCGCGGGGCTATCCGGGGCACGGCCGGGCGCAGCGTCCCCGGGGCGCGGGCGGCACCGGGCCCAGCGCAGGGGACACACAGAGGTGACGGGGAAGAAACAACAAAAGGCCGGGGCAGTGGGGAGGGAGCGGGAGGAGAGGGCTCGGGGGTTCTCGCTGCCCAGTTTGAGCCTCTGCCTCTGCTGGTCACGTTTGCAAATGTCCCTCCTGCTGCCCGGGTGCCTGGCGCGCGCAGGCCAGGGCCGAGCCGGGCACGCTCCTCACTACTGCACTGTCTGAGAGGGCCCCACGGCTGCTTTGGGCTGCTCGAGGGTGGCTTCTCGGCTTTTCTTCCGCGGAGGCTTTTTAATGGGTGTTTTCTTGGCGGGCGCCTCGCTCGGGGCGGCCGCCTCGGGGCCGCTGCCGGAGCTCTGCTTCTCAGCCCGCTGCGGCTCCCCGGCCACGGGCTCGGCCACGGCGGGGATCAGTTTCTGCAGGTTGGCGGACGTGGGCAGCGCGGGCTTGCCGGCCTTCTGGCCGCCGGCGCTCGCCGAGCGCTTGGCTTTCTGCGGCGGCGTGGGCTTCTCGCGCGGGGGCTGCAGGGCGCCCAGCCCGTTCTGCCGGGCGCCACCGTCGCCCTTGTGCAGGCTCTGAGTCTTTTCCTTCAGCTGGGCGGCCAGCAGCGTGGCCGCCTCGGAGCTCAGGTGCGGGTGCAGGCTCTCAGCGCGTGGCTTGCCGGCGCTGGGGCTGCGCGGGGCCTCCCGGCTCTCGCCCGCGCGCCGCTCCGCGTGGAAAGCGCCCATCTTTTTGAAGGCGTTTTGCACCGCGCCGTTGATGTTCTCCATCTGCTCCGTGCTGGCCCTGCCCCTCTGCTTGGGCTTGGATGGCGAATGCGGCTCCGCGGGGAGGGAGGCTTTGCCCTCCGGGAAGCCCGGCTCCTTCGGAGGCTTCTGCGCCTTCTCCTTGCCCCGGGCGCTGCCCTTCTCGTCCGCTTTGCTGTGCACGCTGGCCGACGTCTCGCTTGGACTCCTCTTCCTCTTGGCCAAGGCCGGGCCATGCTCGGCGCCGCTGAGCGGGGCGGCTGCTCTCTCCGGGGACCGGCTGGGMGCAGGCAGCGAGTTGGACTGGTTGCAGTTGTACCTGCCGTGGATCCAGGACACTTTGGGCTTCGTGGACGGGTCAGGCGGACGGGGCTTGGTTCTCTCGGGCGACGGTGGCTTTGCGCTGCCTGCGGGGCTCCTGGGCTCGGCCGGGCTCTCCTCCTCCTCCTTGGACTGCTTGGAGAGCCGCGCGATCCTGGCGTAGAGCGCGGCGCTAGCCGAGCCGGACCCGCAGGACGAGCGCTCGCTGTCCGACGACTTGAGCAGGGGCGTCTCGCTGCTGTCGGCATGGAAGGCCTTGACGGAGCCCGTCTCCTTCAGGAACGTGTACTCGCCGGCCTCCTCCGGCCCGGCCGTGGGCCCCGGCTTCTCCCCCAGGCTGCAGGACGTGCCCCTGTCCTTGCTGTCACCCACGCTCTCTGCAAAAGGAGAGCGCGGAYGGGTTACATGGGCACCCCATGGGACTCGCCGCCTTGTCCCCAAGAGGAGGGGAGGGAGGGCGAGGGCAGGACTGAAGCCTCAGAGCAGAGCGGGAGACGGGCAGGTGGGACAAGGCTCCCTCACCAGGCTGTTTCTGCCTTCCAAGAGGCTCCTTTTGGCCTGTTGATCCACCYGCCCCTGCAGCTTGTCTGCTGGGAGCTTATTGAGGGGCCCCAGAGGAGAAGAAACCTTAAAACGAGTGGCGCTGGAAGGAGGAAGCTCTGAAAGCCCGACGGGAACAAGAGCAGAGCCCGGGGCTGGGCCCCGCTTCCCCTTCCCGGAGCCAGGACACTAGGACATGTTCCTGGGGAGCAGGGTTGGCATGTGCGGGGCCTTCTCCATGCTCCTTCTCTATCTCTGCATGGAGCAGAGGATGCTCCAGGATCCCCCGGGCCACCTTGGCGGAGCCGCGTCCCTCTGCTTACCCTCGTGGGGAACGCAGTACACGGGCCCCTCGTCCGTGGTGTCAAACGAGGAGAAGGAGCCGCGCGAGGACCAGGACGGCGAGGGCTGCTCCACCACGGAGGGCGGCTCGATGAAGCTGCAGTTCATGGTGTTCTCCAGGTCGTGATGGGCCACTGCAAGGGCAGAGAGCGGGCGTCAAGCTGTGCCCTGAGCCCTGCCGGGGCCTCCCCTCAGCTCCGGCCTCCCCGCCCCGCGGGAAGGGCTGTGGGAGACACAGGGCCCCTCTGCCCATCCTGCTGGTGGGTTTTGGGAGCCACCACAGCCCTTGTGTGGGAGCTGGACACAGCTCCAGCCGCCACCGCTGCCCCAGCCCCTCTGCCACCGGCGGCACCTTGTGCAGCAGCACGGGCTGGGCAAGACGGGGGTCCTGGCGCCTGATCCAGGTCGGGACTGCCAGGAAAGAGGTGCTCAGAAAGCCCGGGAGCCAACAGTGCCCTCGAGGTCTTGCATGCGGTGCGGAGCAAGGGAGGAGTTGGGGGTCCGCGGGGACGCAGCGCGGCCTGGAGGCACCCAGTCCAGCCCAGCGCAGCCCAGCGCAGCAGCCCTGCAAGGGGCACCGCGAGGCGACGGCTCCCCGGGCTCCTCCGCACACGGGGATGAAGGGGCTGCCACGTCAACTGCAGGAGTTTGAATTGCAACTTTTCCTTTTCCCCCTAAGATATCTGATATATTCTTATTTTGCTCCCACTTGCACAAAAAGAGGTGAAGCAAGAAATGCTGGGGGTTAGGGCTTCCAGCGTCGCCTTTTACCCACTGTGCCACTTTTCAGTCCCTGCAGCTTCTGCAGACAAAGACGAGGAGGAGCCGTCGCTGCTGGCACAGGGCCCGTTCCCTCTGCGCTCGGTGGCAGGACACAGGAAAGGAAAAGGAAAAGCCATGGGAGAGCCACCCGAGAAGAAAAGATGTGGTGCTTAAGATATTTTCCTCCCCAGTTTCAGCCATAAAAAGGCTATAAAATGACAGCTGTCTCGTCATCCTGGGATTTTTGCTTGGTCTTTTTACAGTATTCCCATGGAGGAAGGGACTCCAAAAGGCCTGGAACCAGCAGCGTGCCCAAGTTCTGCCTCCTCCAGAGAATAAAACTGGAATGGGGATGGCCTGAAACAAGGGAGCTTCATCGGGCCGAGCACCCTCCTCGTGGGGACGTCGCAGGGTGGATGACACCGAGCTGGGTACCGTGGAGGACTAAAGGAGCAAGGAAGGATGCTCAAATAATGGAGATAATGAAGTGCAGAGCAGGAACCCTGGAACAAAAGCGGCTCTGGTATTTAAAGAGCACGCGGCACTCGGAGCGGGGGAAGCAGCAGCTTCGGCACGACTTTCCTTGCAATAAAACCCCAAAAGGGAAAATCAAAAGCAGACTGCTGGAAGCACATGAAGCGGGARGCTTCCTCAGTGAAGGCCCCGTGTCTGAGAGGACGGCAGGGCTTGGGGAGGGCGGGCGCACCCAGCGTGCACGGGGCTCGGGAAGCGAGTCCTGCCGCTCGCGGGCCCTGTGCGCGGGGCTCCCACGCGGTCCCGCGGGGCCGGGGCGCCGGCGGGAGCAGGGCCCGCGCGGAGCAGCGCAGAGCGGCGCCCCTGGGGATGGCGCTTCCTGCTCCACTCCAACATCTGGCTCGGCGAGGGGGGGCGGCTCGTGGATAAATCACAGGCTGACGGGGCTGGGAGAAATCCGGCCGCTTCCTGTGGGCCCCTCTGCGCCGCCGGGGCTGCCGAGCGCCGCCCCAGCTCCCCGCGCCGAACAAASGGCCCCTCTCCGGCGGCACCCGCTGCGCGGGACTGCTCGGCTTGCGCCTCAGCGGACACGGCAGGTTTGCGAGTGGGAGCTGGACACGGGTGCCACGCGGCACCTCAGGGTGCCAGGAAGCATCCTGGGGTGCCACACAGCGTCTCAGGGTGCCAGGAAGCACCTCAAGGTGCCACACTGTTTCAGGGTGTCACACAGCGTCTCAGGTTGCCAGGAAGTGTCTCAAGGTGTCACACAGCTTCTCAGGGTGCCATGCAGTGTATCAGAGTGCCACGCAGCATCTCAAGGTGCCACACAGCGTCTTGGGGTGTCATGCAGCATCTCATGGTGTCACACAGTGTCTCTGCCACCAACTCACCAGGCGGTCCCTCTGCAAACGTCTGCAGGATGAACCCAACGCCAGCACTGCCTTCCACACCTCTCACGTGTGAACAGGGGGTGATACTCGCTCCAAAACCATTTCTTATGYGTCTCTGGGGACACTGGGTCTCGAGGCCGGGACACAGCACTGAGAGGCACGAGAAGGAGCAGCCCAGGGCTGGGCTGGTTGCGCCRAAGCCTGGAGAGCAGCAAGGGGGACCCCACTGGGCGAGCAGGTGGCCCTGGGGGACACTGTGGTGGAGAGGCAGGTTCCTCCTGCGCTTTGATGCCAGCTCCTGCTGCTGCTCTTTGCGGAAGGCCCTTTGGGCAGGGACGAGGCTTGGGTGCTTTCTGACCTGCTCGCTCCGTGGTCCGGCCATGGTGTCCCTGGGCAGAGCTCAGCCCGGCCCCGGTGCTGGAAGGGAAGCCCAGGTTGGTGCTCGAGGGCCAGCCCTGCGTGCCTTGGATCGCTGCACAGCAGCTCTCGGCCTCCGCTGGGCTCCAAGCTTGCCTTGAGGGTGCAGGAGAACCGCTGACATCGTCCCCTTAAGTCTCCCAGATCTCCAGCTCTGAGGACCTCAGCGACCCAGCTTCGGAGGGCCGACGTGCACAAAAACCAGAGGGTGATCCGAGGACACAGACCCGGTTTCCTGCAGCTGGGAAACTGAATTCCTCAGAAACTTCCTCCTCCTCCTCCTCCTCATGCCAGGAGCGGTCTCCTCCAGCAGGACCACAGCACCGGGCTGGGGAAGTCACGGACAGAGACCCAGGGAGTTTTYGGTGCCCTTCCTTTCCGGTGATTCCCATCCCACTCATCCCAAGCGAGGGATGGTTCACAGAGGTCACGGATAACTTGAGGTGTCTAATCTCTGCAGCCTGGAGAAGAGACACGGCGGTGCGAGCAGGAGTGCACAGGGAGGAGCGGGGCGCAGTGAGCCCCACGCGGGACTCTGGCACCAGAGCCGCTCACGCCCCGCGCAAGGAGAGCCCCAGCGCTTGCCCCACAGCCACGAGCAGAGAGGCTCTTCTCCGGAACGGCTGTGTGGCTGCGTGGGACCCAACCGCGCTGAGATGCTGCACTCCTGGGCTCTGCGGAGCGGTTTGGCTGGTCTCCTGCTCCAGCCTTGCGTGTTGGGCCCAGTCCTGCTCCTCCTGCACACGCCTCTTCCGAYCCGAGAGCCACCACAAGCAGGGTGCTGCAGCAGCATAAATCCATCCATGGTGCTCTGAATTACCTCACCAACCAGCTCGAACCCCACAGTAGGCTTTAATGCAACTGAGAGCTGAGAATTTGTTCAAAAAACCCTGGCAAGGAGAGGTCTGACCAGTCTTTATCACTAGGCTCAGTCAACACTAGTGGGAGAGGCCCTGGCTCCGGTGACTGGTGCCACCAGCTCGAATGTGCCAAGTGGCCAGAGCGCCGCTGCCCCAAAGCGAAGCTGCGGCCGTGGAGCAGCTTTGTGACTCCTGTGGCGAGGGCTAAGCACTGCTTCCATGCCTGGAARCGGGTTATGGTTCGGGGCTAGTAACAGCAGCATGTGGAGAGCCAAATAAGAGGTGTTCCCAAGCCCAGCGAGTCACCTGCAGCCACAGGATTAGCGCAGCGAGATGTTACTGCTCCCAAGGCGGCTCTTTCACACYGGTACTTGTGGTTGGTAATTAGAGCAATTAGAGCAAGAGGCAGAAGAGGGAATCGCGTCTGCCCACAAGCGCTGGCAACCGCAGGGAAGGTCAGAGCTCCTCGCAGATGGCGTCGGCTTCCTCGGCACCGGTTTCGCTCCGAAGGCCCCGTGACGTGCTGGGCTCCTGCAGCGCTGCACATGGCCACGTGCCCCACGGGGACCTGGCCCTCGAGGGCCATCTCAGGCTCAAGGAGGTCTTTGTGAGGGCTCTGCTATGCAGCAGCACCAGTTCTGCCTACCTCAAGGCCAGCCCAGTGCTGGATTTCCAGGTGGAAACCATGTGGAAACCAGGTCCCCCCGCCCCAAAGGAGGCAGAACTGCAGGCACCCCTGGCACCCTCGTGCCGGGGATGCCCGGACGCTCTCCAGAGGGGATGTATCCRTGGATGTGCTGCCAGCACGGCCGTGCAGGAGCCACCCGGGCTCTGCAGCTCCATCCCGYGCCGTGGGGCCACCGCGCAGGCTGGGCACCGGCCGCCGTGTTTGCGCAGGGTGGCTGGGAGGGCGCCGGGCCGCGTGGGCAGGGCGCACACAGCCCCACGGAGCGGGGCCGGCGCACACAGGGCCCCTCTGTGCTCCCAGCCCACTTCCACAAACACGGCAGGCCGCTGTTGTCCTTGCAGCAGGAATGTTTCTCCAGCCTCGGCGCACTGGCACAGAGAGGCCGCCTTTGCAGGGGAGCCCCTCTGCAACAGGCTGCTCTGCTCCCACGTGGCCACAGAGGGACCCGTGTGGCCTGCACCCAGGGGTGCTGTCTGGCCGGGGGAGCTGGCCCCGCAGGGGCACCGTGCGGCGCAGAGGCTACCAGGGCCCTCCTCCCGCTTCCGCATCCCCGTGCTCTGAGCGCTAGTTACTCTGCACRCAGGAGGCCTCCCTGCACCCCCAAGCAACGTGAGGACAGGATTCACGGATACAGGATGTTGCCATCGGGTTGCACCCCCTGCTACTCTTTCACAGCATCCCCATGGGCCCGGTGCACTCTTTGCCATGGGCTTTCCATGACACACAGCCGACCTGAAGTGCAGCCTGGCCTGGAGAGCTCTGCTCTGTACAGGGGCCTCCACGGGAGACCCCCAGGAGTCTTGCAAGTCACCCCGTGGAAACCCCGCTCCATGGTGCTGGCGACCAGCGTCCTGTTGCTGGGGCCCTGCACCTCGGACCCGCAGCAAAGCTGGGGACCCCAATGTCCCCCCGTCACCACCACACTCCCGGAACCAGCTACTGCCCTGACCCGGGACAGCAGGAGCAGCCCGGGCTCCCACGCCAGCCACGCCACCGTTGGCACGGGGTACCAGGGCTCTACCCCGGTCCCTGGGCGCATTCCCAACCCCAGCTCCTCACCTACGACCTTGGGCAGCTTCTGGCGGCGCAGGGGGATGCGCGGGAGCTTCATGCTGATGCGGCTGAAGCGGCCGCACAGGCGGCGCGGCGGTTTCTTGGCTGCCGCCGGGTCCTGGTTGGTGCTGCAAGGCAAGACAGCATCCCCGTCAGAGAGAGCACTGTCCCTTCCAAGGCTGTCGTGTTATTTATGGGATAAGACACCAAGCTCCAGCGTCTGGAGCTGCTGCAGATTTGGAGSTTGCCAGGAAGAGGGGCCAGGGAGCATGGAAAGCAGGAGGTGCAGCGAGGGACCTGGTGCCCTGTGCGCGTTACCCTTGCCCAGGGCTGTTTAAACTCGAACTTGGCCGTGGCTGCAGCCGGGGCGCAGCCGGCTGATCCCGGGCCAGGTGAGTGGTGCCGGTGCCGTTTCGGGACCAGAGGCAACCCCCTCCTGCCCTGCACCGCTCAGCACTAACCAAGAGGCTGCAGCTCCTCGCAGAGCCAGGCGCAGCCYGGCACGGCCAGGGGCTCTGCGCCGATGGCAGCGGGACATGAAGCTGCTCCTGGAGCAACAAAACACCCCAAATCACCCGAAAAGCAGACGAGGGAGTCGCGGACACCAGGCCGTGATGAGGGTGCTGTGGATGGCTTGCAGCAGTGCCCCGTGCTGCACTAGCAGGCCCCCCGTGTCCGTGATGGGACCGGAGCGCTGGACATAGGGGCCCCGCACGGAGCTGGGGAGCCCAGGGCACCCTGGCCAAAGGAACCGATTTGGAGCCATTTCCCACGAAAGGCTCCTTAAAGCACGCCTGCCTTTGTGAAGTGGCTGCTTTTATCTGCGGGATAACGACATGCAGACCGCAGGCTCCCCAAACCAGATGTCCCGGATTGGAATTTAATTGGCCCGGCTGCCAAATGGAGGCTTCCGGAAAATTCCCAGGCCGCGGCCGGCAGCACGAGGCGCAGCCACGGTGCACGGGGCGGGGAGGGGGGTTTGTCTGCAGCTCTTGGAGCTCCCAGCCCCCCAGCGCTGCCTCCACCGGAGCTGGTCCCTGTGCTCCGCACGCTCCCTGCCACGGGCGCTGGCAGAGCTGGCACCGCGGCGGGGCTGGATGCGCCCGCGTGGCTCCCACCTCCTCGGCATCGCGGAGACCCATCAGGCAGGTCCTCCTGAGCACCCTACAGACCCAGCAGCATCTTTGGGATGCTGGTGGCGGGGCTCATCTGCCTGCACGGACTTTGCTGGCACCCATCTGGAAACGCCTGCGCAGGAGCACCCCTGGGCGGCAGCACCCTCTGCAAGGCCCAAAACCGCAGCAACAGATCGAGTTCCTCTCTGCTCTGCGGCTGGAAAAGCTCCGCGCTCTGGGGGGCTTGGGGAGGGAGGGAGGGCGGGAGCCCGCCTGCATTTCCCTGAGCTTAGCAAATAGTTCTTGCCTGCAGCTTGAGCGGGAGCCCCGCGGATGCAAGGCAGCGCTCAGACATGAGCAAAACTGCCCCTGCTTCTCCCCGCCGGGACCCTTCCTGCCGGCCCAGCTCCGCTGGCCCCCTGCCCAGTGCCTCAAAGGGTCCCAGTGGGTGCGAGCTGCACCCACCTTCAGCAGGTTCGGAGGAAGACACCTTTTGCACCCAACGTGCGAAGCCCTGTGGASAGGTGGCTCCCCCAATGGTTGCACCCATTTCCCCAGCTCCCTGCAGGAGCAAACTGTGCCCCGCTGCCTCGTGGGCCCAGCAAAAGCCTCCTTGAGGGGGCTGGAGCGCCCCCAAAGCGGCGGGATCGCGGCACTCACCCGTGGCCTTCGTCCTTCTTGCGGCAGACGCAGCAGCAGCAGAGCAGCGAGAGCAGCAGGATGAGCAGCAGCGCCAGCAGCGCCCCGGCGCCGATGACGCCCATGCGCTGGTTGGCCTCTGCAAGGCAAGGCGGGCGCCGTGAGCGGGGCCGCGCCGCTGCGGACAGCCCGGCCGCACCGCCACGGCCACTCACCCATGTGGCAGGCGCCCGTCAGCGGGTCGCACGCGTCGTCGTGGCAGCTGCAGGCCTGCGCGCAGTTGGCTCCGAAGTGGCCCGGCGGGCATGTCAGGTTGCAGCTGCGGAGGGAAGGGCCGCGGGGTGACGGCGCCCGAGGGACGCTCTGCCCTCGCCGCCCTGCCCAGCCCCGTCGCTCCCTGCTGCCCGGAGCCCTCGGGAAGAGCCCGCGCTGTCCCCGTGTGCCTGGGGAGCCCCCTCTGCTCCCGTTTTGCCTTTATGTTCGTGGCTGTTACAGGAGGTCATCAGCCCATCGGTCGCAGTTAAAGACTCCCCGGGGAGCAGCAGCACTCAGGCGCAGGAGCCTCGGCCGGGTCTCCAGCTCGGCTGCTCTGCGGGTGACGCGGTGCCAGTGCCCCACGTTCSCGAGCGGAGCCCGTCCCCTGCAGCCCGTGACCTTGGAAGCCTCCCGTATGCTCCCTCCCAAAGGGAAAACAACCTGGAAGGCTTCCGGATTTTCTCTCCCAAAGAGAAAACAACCTGAGCAGCCCCAGCAGAGATGGCCGAGGCCGAGTGTCGTTGCACCGGGGCTCCCCACACAAAGCGGCGCCTCCTGGAGAAGGCGGCGGCTCCCCGGCCTCCGGGGCTCGCGCAGGAGCAGGGCAGATACCCACACAGCGGTGTCTGAACATGGAAAACAGGCTCTAAGGACATGGAAAAGCCCTCGAGGCGCTCGGTGTCTGCCAGGGTCACGGCGAGGCCTGCAGCAGCGGCCTCCATGGCGGCCCGCCGCCCTCCATGGTGGCCGTGGACAGGGGGCAGCCCTCAGAGACGCCGAGCTCTGAGCTCTCTCCTCCCACACAGGACTGCGGCTGACGCTCCGAATGGCGGCTGATCCACGGGGCCTTTTCGGGAGCAGACCTGTCACCTCACGGCGAAGGGGCTCCCGAAAGCAGGGAGCAACCTGCAGCTCATGCAGGGCAGAGACGTGACCGCACGCCCACGGCCTCCGGGATGCTCGAAGGAAGTGTTTTTGTTTTGTCTTTGAATCTAAGTGTCTACAACAGCCGCAGAAGACGTAGCCAAGGGCTTTAATTATAGGACTTCGGCCATAATTTGAAAGGAGCGGATCAAACACGAAGCAAAACAAACCCGGTCAGTGTCGTGATGCACAGACTGCAGAGCCGGAGTTGAGTCATGGGCGAAKAAACGGGGGCAGAACGGCCTGGCGCTCACATCCTCCCGCAGTCTCCGCCAGCCCAGCCCCAAGGCTGCCCTAGCAGCAATCCTGGCTAAGGAACCACCGCCAAAGGCGCCAATGGCAGGAAGAGCCGAGCACGCGGTGGGATGTGGGACCCCAACGGGTGAAGCTTCATTCATAGGTACCTCCACAGGGAACTTGGATGGATTTAAGGGGTGCTGCCCCAAAGCTCTGCAGCAGCGACAGGCTCCACTGCCAAGAGGACAGACAGCGCTGCCAGGGGCCGAGCTCTTGCCAGCTGCTCCTGGGCGGCATCGACGCAAAGAGGCACATCTGCTCCATCCGACACGGGCCAGCCGCCCCCAGCCGCCCCCAGGCCTCGTGGGACGCACAGCTGGGCTGGCCCTGACTAAAGCATTTCACGCTGCTTCAGCTTTCCAAGCCAGCCGCCCTGCGCAGCCCCGTGCCCGCGCGCTGCCACGTGCCAGGCGGACGGTGCAGGCGCCCCAGCTGCGCCGTGTCAAAGCAGCTGCGCGGGGACAGCACACACGCGGCAGGAYGGAGGGATGGGAGCACTGGTGTTTTCTAGGCAGTCCAAAACACCCTTTGCTGCAGCTACCCAACACTTCTAGGGCTTGCAGTTCAGTTTGATCCCAATGTCYGTCCCAGGCTAGCACGTTGTGGGGCAGGAAACGCAGGGTTATTTGTTTTCCAAGCAGGCCCAGACATGACTGGCAATGATGCTGAGGAAGTAAATTGCACTGTGCWCATTACCGACGTGTCACCAGCCTTCCCTTTAGCACGCGGGTGACACACAGCTGAGGGGACACCCTTACACAGTGAAGACAGCCCTCTTGCCACCCTTTCCAAAGCCTTCCTATATTTGGCCAAATTAGAAGCTTAGGAAAAAAAAACTAAACCTCAGCAGTTTGCACATAGTCACGGAGACACGCCTGACCACCAAAGAAAACCCCCAAGTGTCCGTGCCCACTTGGCACGCCCTGTTTTAGCCCAGACTTCCCTGTGATTACAGCTTTGGGACGCTGCTGGGGCACGGCCCTGGCCACCTCTTTCTCCCTCCCTTCTTTCTGCCCCTTCTCTCCCYGCCTGCACCTTGAGGCCAGATCCAGCAAGGTCAAGAGCAGCATTGCACATTGGCGGCCGGAGCACCCCCACTGCCTACAACACGCGGTGCTATCAAGAGGCCTTTAGCTCTCAYGTGCCAAGGGAAGTTTTAAGAGCTTAATTTGAGTTCTGCAAAACCAAATCTCCTCCCCCCAGACTTCCTGATGTGCTACAAATGTCTTCCTCTTCAACGACAGCACCAAAGAGAAGTGCTGATGCTAAACAGGGGCTTTCTAGACTGGTTTTGTTTCTGCAAAGCTACTTTCTAGCCAGGCAACTTGCCCTGTCATCTGTGCAAATCTTTCACCGTGTGCAGAAGAGCACAAATATTGTACAGATCCCCCTAAAAAACAGCAGAAAAGCTAAGGTGGGGGCTTAGCAACGCTCCAGGCCAGCGCAAAAAGACCTCGGAGCTCACGATGGGCATCTCCAAAACACGGGCACTTGCAGAACTGCCAGCACGGCGGGGGCGTTTGGGAGGCTGGAGGTCGGGAACAAGCTCTTTGCTCCATCACGGTTCTGCACAGTCAATCCCAAGAAAGAAAAGGTGAGAACATTTCCCAAAGCCACATTTTCCCCATTTCAGCTCCCCAGGAGGACTGCTGGCACCGGCTGGAAGGCAGCAGGGCAGGCCCCACATCCTTCTCCAGGCGCCATCAGCCTCGCAGTTAATTGCCGGGAAAAGCCAAATGACACAGGGTAGGACCCTGGGGAAACTCATTTCCAAGTCTGAGCTGCAGGGGAAACACTCCCCTCACGTTTTCGAAAGACTTTTCTGTTCCACATTGGAAAAAAAAAAGAAAAAAAAGGGAGAAGGAATGAGACCATGTCCGGCCATCGCCTGCCCGGTGCGGAGGCAGCAGGAGGAAGGGACCAGAGCAAGCAAGGGAGCCTGGCGTGAGCAAAGGGCCTTCGTTTCCTTTCTTTGGGGAGGGGGAAGAGGGAAGGGACCGCCGTAGGGCTCATCCCTGCCATGTGAARCGTCCAGGTTGGAGCTGCAGTTCGGAGCAGGAACGACAAGCGAATGCCATAACCGTGAGGCTATTTGCTATTCTGGGATGTGGTTTTTCTCTTGCTTTCCCTCACTCTCCTTTTTGACTAGAAATTCCATCTTGAACTCGAAAACACTTCTTGGAGGAAGGCATTTGTTTTTGCCAAGCTCACATTTCCTCAAACCAAACCCCTTTCTCAAGAGCTCCTCACCGACTCCGGCCCATCCAGCTATTACTGGGAGACCAAGATTTACACCACAACTTGGTGGTATTTGACCGAAATCCCTGAGGGCATTGCCAGGGGCTCGGCAGGAGGACACCTGCTTTCCAAAGCACTCCAAAGTCCTTCGCATGGCCTGAAACGCCACCACCCCCACCACTGCTAACACGTTTTCATCTGCCACAAGCAAGCTGGAATTCCCAACACTCCCCGGGTTTACTCCCTAATTGTGGATTTCTCATGCTTGGGGATGAAGGCACCACAATTTGGGGAGGAAACGCTTTGCACTGTGCTCCACAGATCTCCAAGAGCTGCCATCCAAGGAGCCTGTTAGCTGTGCCCTGCCTAGGGCCCAGGCTGGCGGCATGGGGGGCTCCTCTCCACCAGCCCCAATGCAGGAGTRGAAGTGGCACCAAGTGCTGCAGCCCCACTGCTTCCATAAACACCCCCCACCCTGGAGATGCCAAACAATCCATGGATCTACCCAGCGCCCTGAAACCTGCCCAAGTAGCTCTCAAAAACATTCACTTCTGAGGCRCAAGAGGAGGCCGCGGTGAGCTCTGTGTGGTTGCACGTGGGCTCTTGCAGCACAGACACCCAGCACCTTCCCCAGCTCAGCACCCATCCTGGCACCTCAGYGGGCCCCCAAAACAGCAGCACCCGGGGAATCCTGCCAGCCTGAACTCACCAGAACGGCCTGAATCGGCCCCAAAACGCGCCCGGGCGCCGCTCACTTACTAGGTGCCGTGGGAGCCTGCGCGGCAGAGGCATCTGCCCGTCTCGAAGTGGCACTCGCCGTTGACACAGTCGCTGCACACGAAGGCGCAGTTCTCGCCGTACGTCCCGTTGCGGCACTTGGTCTCACACCTAAGGGAGCACGTGGAAAGCGGCAGCTGGAGCGGCCCGCGCGGGACCCGCTTTCCCGGGTGATGGGGACGGTGCCAGCACTCCACGAGCTTTCTGGGGAAGGGCAACGGGGGCAGGAAGGCAGCAGCAGGCGTGGGTAAAGGCAGCTCCCCAGCAGCATCCCAGCAGCATTCCCACCAGCCCTGTGCCTTGCGCTTGCCAAGAGCCACCAGGCAGGGAGATGCCAGGAATGCTCCGAGTCCCGCTGTGGGCTCCTCAATCAACCCTGGCATCACCAGGCCCTGGGAAAGAGTCTAGCTGGCCTCCTATGGTCCCACAGCCGGGCCAGCAGGCTCAGGCCACCTCTGCCCTCCCGCTTTGGATGCGGAGACACAAACCACAGCCTCTGGTCTGCAGACCTGGTTGTGGACCAGCAGAGAGGCCCTGCCAGGATGCCAAAGCCCAGGGGGGACCTGCACGACGAGGTGCTAAGGGGCCCGGGCTGCATGCCAGATGTAGCCCCAGCCCAAGGCCGGACTCACCGGTCTCCGATCCAGCCAGGGTTGCAGTGCGAGCACTTGCCGTTGATGTGGTTGCAGGTGTGCCCATCCTTGCACGGGGGGCACATCTTCTCGCAGCCCTCGCCGTAGAAGCCGGGCGAGCAGGGCTGGTCGCACTTGGTGCCGTTCCAGCCGGCCTCGCACGTCAGGCAGCGCCCATCGGCCACCGTGCAGGGCTGCAGGCTCTTGCACTGCCCACAGCTGCGAGGGACGGCAGGAGACGTGTTGCAGCACCCCACGGTGCAGGACACGTGTTGCTGCACCCCATGGCGGCCCTGCGCCCCAGCCGCGTGGAGCACGAGGACAACCCTTCAGTTATCACTGAATCACAGAATGGCTGGGGTTGGAAGGGACCCCTAGAGATCCTSCAGTCCAACTCCCTGCTCCAGCAGGGACACCCAGAGCATGGGGCACCCGGGAACATCCAGGCGGGCTGGGAGATGTCCAGAGAAGGAGACTCCACAGCCTCCCTGGGCCAGGGCTCGGACACCCTCCCAGTGAAGTTGTTCTTCCTCACATGCAGATGGAACTGCCTGGGTTTTAATTTGTCCCCATTACCCCTTATCTCCCACCTTTATCCCAGCCAGCTCCTGCGCTCAGCCCTCCACCATTCTCASCTGCCAAAACCAGATGCCATCCGGCAATCCCTGGATGCTCCATCTCCCTTCCCAGACACCCACCGCGCACGACACCCACGTCCTGCACCCTTTGCCTCCCCTCTGCCCTCCGCGGCGCGGGGACGGCTGCAGCCCGTGCTCGGGCACTCACCGCCTGCGGCAGCCTTGCCCGTAGAAGCCGGCCGGGCAGGGCTCGCGGCAGTATTTGCCCCGGTATCCCGGCTCGCACGTGCACGTCCCGTCCACCTGGTTGCACTTGCCCTTGTAGCACTGGCAGTAGCGGTCGCAGCGGGGCCCGAAGGTCCTCTCGCGGCACTGGCAGCGCCCCGTGAACTGCTCGCAGGGCGAGTTGTTGCAGGAGCACTGGTTGTTGCAGCCGCGGCCCCACCAGCCCGGCTGGCACAGGCAGTTGCCCGTCTGCTGGTCGCACTGCGAGTTGTGGCTGCAGTAGCAGGAGCTGGAGCACTGGGGGCCCCACCAGTTGGGCTCGCAGGTGCACTTGCCCGTCTTCTGGTCGCACTTGCCGTGCTTGCAGAGGCAGCCGTTCTCGCACTTGGGCCCCCAGCGGTTGGGGTTGCAGGTGCACTGGCCCGTCACGTCCTCACACTGCCCGTTTGGGTGGCAGCTGCACATCTCCTTGCAGTCGGGACCCCAGAACTGGCGGGGACACTCTGCGGAACAGGCAGAGTGGGCAGCCCCATCGTGGCACGTGGCACCTCCCCACGTCCCCCCTCATCCATGGACATGTCCCTTGTCCTAACCATGGAGACCCCTGGGCCAAACTGGACCCCATGGCCACGCTCCCCACCAGCTGGGGCACCATCCTCCCTCCCCGCAGCCCCCATTTAGCAGGCTGGATCAGAGGAGACCCYTCCAAAGGGATGATGCCCTGGGCATAAACCTGGGTGCTGGCAAGGTGGACAGAGCAGGAGCATCGCAACGAGGACAGGCAGCATCCTGGACAGGCCACCAGACCTGCCTCCAGGGTGACAACACGGTGACAATGCTGCCTACATGGTGACAACGGCTTTGGGTGAAGGGAGCCCATTGGAGGCCGGGGGCCGTGGTCTGTGGGGTGCCCCGTCCCGCAGCTCCCGTTGCCGACGGGGCCCCTCGTACTCACTGGTGTCGCAGTTGGCGCCGAAGTAGCCGTGCCGGCAGCGGCACTCGCCGGGCCTCACGCACACCTCGTTCTCCTTGCAGGTGAAGTTGCCCTCGCACAYGGCTGCACGGACGGACAGAGGCGCTCGTGAGCGCGGGCAGCGCCAGGCCGGCCCGCGAGGCCCGGCCCCTGCCGCCAGGCACCGCTGGACACATCTCCCAGCGCCAGCAGCCCGCATGGGGCCTCGCCAGGAAGGTGCCACCAGGTGCCCAGCTCGGCTCTGTCCCTGCCGCCAGCCCCCCACAGCATCCCCCCTGCTGCCCTGCTCAGCTGCATCCCCGCCAGCCGCCAACGTGCTCGGCGCTGCTCCCATCGCCCGCTCAGCTCTGTCCTTGCCATCACCCTCCTGCCACCCTGCTCACCTGGCCCTGTCACCTCTCAACCCACTCAGCTCTGTCCCCATCACCCTGCTCAGCCCTGTCCCTGCCACCAGCCTCGTGCCACCCGCTCTGCTCCGTCCCTCACTGCAGGGCACAGCAGCCTCGCTGCCTCCCGGCACCACGTCTGGGGCCAGTTCCTGGCACGGCTGAGCAGAGCGAGACGCGCTGCCGGCCCCGAGGTCCCGCGGGACGCGGCCAACGGGCGCCCCGGCCCTGCAGAGCCTGCTGAAGCGCAGCGAGAGCAAGGGCAGCCCACTCRGCCAGTCCGCCTTACCTGCGCGTTCTTAGACCTACGGTGATGGGTACTATAGAAAACCCTAAAATAGACAGATTAAACAGGTTAGGAGCAGTGAGTCTAAGGGTTAGAGCAGGCTTGGGGGCGAGGGGGCAGTGGAGCAGCTTGCATTTCCTTCCTGGTGGCCCTGTCCCCCTGCCAGCTCGGGGAGAGCTGTCCCTGCTGCTCCCCGACGGCGACACGGAGCAGGGCCGGTTCCGCGGGCACAGGCGCATGCAGCGAGCGGTTATGGGGGCTCATGCGCAGTGGGTTAGTTTGTTATGTGGCCCTTGCTCCCCGGGCCGCCGCGGGCCACCACACACGCTGTGGCTGGCCCAACGCGTGGGGCATTTGGTGGCAACCTCCAAACAGGCTCCAAGAAGCTCCGCGGTGCYGAGCGGCCACCCGCGGCACCGGCCTCGCCGCCACGGCCAGGACCAGCTCCCYGGCCCGTGGCYGCTGCTCCTCCGCCAGCCCCGGCTYCCTCCAAGCTGGCCTGCTCGTCTGCACTCTCCTTGATGAACAGCAGCCTCACGCGCCCATTCCCAGTGCCCAAGGCTTGGGCTCRGCTCCGAGCGCTGGAATAACACCAGTGGGAGCCTTCTGGCCGGTTCCCATCCCCATCCCCACCCTCTCCTTCACCTTTACATCCCCAAGCTTTTTCTGGCCCTGGAGGACACCTCGCCAGCGCCGGGGTTGAGAGCAGGGTCCCCAAGAGCTCAGTGGCCTCCTGCAGACCCCGGAGAGCTGCTGGAGCAGCCACGGGAAGCAGGGCCGGGAGCCGGCTCTGCGGCAGGGGGCCCAGGACACAGGGGACCCCAGCACTCGCTGCACCCTGTCCACGTGCTGTGCACRCACCGAGCCTGCTCCGCGTGCTACAAGAAAGGCAGGAGAGTCCCTGGGCTCTAGGGAGCCTCTGAGCGCCGCTGTGCACGGAGGTCCCTCGGGAAAGGCTTTTGGCCACTGAAGAGCAGCCCTTGGCAAGGCGAAGAGGGTTCTGCAACGGCTGCCCAGGAGAGCAAGGTCTACCAAAGCAAAGGGCCAGYGCTTACCTATTAAACACTCATTTCCTTGTTGCCTCCATCCCGGGCAGCACACGAGCACCGAGAAGCTGCACGGAAGAAAACGCACATGGTGACAATCCCCTCAGAGCCCCGTCCCTCCCGAGAGCCCGCTGAGAGACCACCACCAAGAGGCCACCACTGTGGTGGGAACTGCACGTCCCAGCCCCTCCGGAGCAGCCGAGGCTCCTGCCACAGCTCAGGGCCCTGGCCCCACTGTCACGGCCCAGGGTGCAATAGGTGACGGGGACACCTTGCCCTGTCCCCCACGCACAGATGCTCCTGCTCCTTTCTCCTACGCAAACAGGGCAGCGATGCCAAGAGTGGGAAAAGCAGCAGCTTTTGTGTGCCTCCTTCTTCCACACCCTTCAGCCAGGGAAAATTTGCTCCTGCTCAGCTTGTTTCGAACTCCTTGGGATAAAAATATCAGTAGGTTCCCCTGATGGGATGCTTCCTCCCAGGGTCTCCTGGCCCAAGGGTCCAGCTGGCCTCCATGCCAGCTGCAAGTCCAGGGCAGCCCCATGGACCTGCACATCAGGCAGGGAACGGCCCACGAAGCTCAGGGACGATCTGTTCTCCTCCAGCTGATGCAAGGACACCTGGTCACCCTCTGTCACCCACCATGGGATGGCCTGGTTAAATGGGAGCACTTCTTGCCCCAGGGAACTCATTGCCGTAGGACGCAGGAACATGAACGTTATCCAAAGCTAGGATGAACCTGTGTGGCTCCGGGTTCCATGCGGATAGGAACTGCCAGCGCTGGAAGGTCTCAAATCCCGCCTGCCATGACCCATGCAAGGATGTAAAGGGCCCTGGGGTCCTCCCAGCTGTTCTCCACACCGAAGCACCGTCGTGGGGAACCTCACAGCTAGTATGAGGTGAAATGAGAGCCGCTCACCGGCTCACAGAGCGCTACCATCTGCTTCTCCCAAGGAAACCGAGTGCCCCGCGCTCGCAAAATGGCTCAGATCATGTTACTGCCAGCCCGTGTTTCAGGCGAGGATAAACGGAGCGTGTTCCTTGATTGAGGCGTCAGAAAACAATATTCAGAAATGAAATTTCCAAAGAAGAGCCCAGGCAAAGCAAGGAGCTATAATGCAGGGCTGAACAYGGGCTTGGTGCTCGGCAGCCCCCAGCTCCGCTCCCCATCCCTGGGCTGCGTCACCCCGAAGCTATCCTGGGCTTGGGCACCCAGGTGGAAGCTGCYCAGCACAACCAGCTCCGGATTCCCCAGCTCCCAGGGAGCATCCACCGCCAGGATAGGGGCAGGAGACTAGCGGTGACACGGCCAAGGGACCCCCTCCAYCCTCTCCATCCTCCATCCAAATGCCCATCCTCAGTGCACGTTTCTACCACCTTCTTCGCCTAGCGCCTTTTCTGGCCTGACGGCTTTTCCTGTTTACTGCTGTCTTACAGCAGCTCTGAAATATCACAGCAACGTAAGGCTGGGAGCATTTGCAGCACTTGGAAGCTTGGAGACCCGCAGCTCTCCTTGCTGGGACCCCACGGAGAACCCACCAACCGCACAGGCTGCCCAAGGGCGCGTTTTCCAAGTCACCCAAGGGATGTTTTCCAAGTTCCTCCATCCCCAGCCCGTCCAGTTGCACGCGGCTGCCTAGTCAGCACAAGGAGAAGGCAGCTCCCTTCTTCCCAAACCCAAGGGCTTCTTGCACTCTCCAGAGCACTTCCAGGGGCAAATACCAGGAGTAACACTGGGCTTTCCCTGTCCCGCAACCGGAGTCCCTTGGACAGGAGCCTTGTGCCAAGGCCAAGTCCCTGCTGGAGTCACTTGAAAAACGGAGAGCCCTTCAGAGCAGGGGAAGGATTTTCTCTGGATACTTCGGCTTTTGCTAACAATTCCCAGCTGCTCCCGGCCCCAGCGCTGTGCAGGACACTGAGCAGGAGAAGCAGGACCTCTCAGGTCCGAACACAACCAGAGCAGAGGTCAGCGACTCCCCAGGGAAGAGGAGGACACGACAGGGACTCCCCACGCTCTGGATCCCGCCTGCTCTCCCAGCACCGCCGTATCACTGGGAAGCAACAGGATTTCGTCGTTGTGTCTCCTCTAACACCACTTGCCCAGAGCCACAGACGGACCCTGGGAGACCCTCCACACGCTCTGCTGACCACAGCAGGGTCCCCGAGACCTCAGGCCACCGCCTGCCAGGGTCAATTCTCCCACATCAGCCTCCAACCCRCCCGCCTTTCCCCCCACCTCCCACAACGTCCATCCACGATGGAGAGCTTGGCTGCTCCACTTGCTCTTCCCACCCCTTGGTGCAGCCGAGGACGCCTGGCCAGGTGTCCTGCCGTGCCCTGACACAACCCAGGCCCAGGAGCAACCACAGTTGCACACGAGACACCCCATGGGAGTCCGCCCTGTCCCCCCAGCAGCTGCCGGCACATCCCGCCACAGGCCCACGTCCCCGGGCAGAACCGGGGGACAGAACACGTCCAACGTGAGCTCGGCGACCACCGCCGGGGACAGGAGCCCCGCTGGAGGCTCCCTGGCCGTGCAGGGCGCTGCAGTCGAGGAAAGCGGCCGCGCGGGCTGGCTCGGCGCTGAAAGGCACGGCTTGGAATGCAGCTTTTGCTCTCTCTCCTTAAACGTAACAAAMGCTACAAAGGAGGAGGAGACAGTGAGAAAATATTCGGCCGCAACCAAGCGCAGTCACAGGATCGCGTGCGGCTGCCAGGGCCGCGGGGGGACCCCATCGCGCCGCAGAGCCCGTGGGCCGGGGAGCCCTGCGGCCATCCGCGAGGTGCCCCCGAAACGCCGCCTTTCCGCAGGGATGCAGGAACACTGGAAGGCAGGCGGGGAAGAACCACAAAAATGATTCAGGGCCTTGGAAAGAATGCCTTGTGGGCCGAGACCAAAATAGCTCCGTCTGTTGGGTCAATGGGAAAGCAGATTAGGAGGCGACGTGTTCGCAGCGCGAGCAGCTCGGCGCAGGGGCCAGCGCTTCGAGCGGGGCCTCTCAGCCCAGAGAGAAGGCGCCGCAGGACCCGGCGCCCCGGAGCAGAGTCAGGAGGGCTTCTTTTAGGGAGGGAGATTTGCCATTAAAACCAACACACCAGGGCTGGGCCGAGGCTCCACAAAACCCCAGCGCGATTCCTCTCTGCAAGACGCTTTGGTCCCACAGGACCCACCGGGCTCCATCCGCGAGAAGAGGATGAAGTCTAAGGACAGGAGGGGACTTTTTTTGGACTAAAACTTCTCTCTGGGCATGGCCGCGCGCTCCAGAGCACAGGAAAGCCCTGGATCACCTCTCTTTGGGAGCTCTGATGCTGTGGGGAAGTGCAGCTCCCACAGCTTCACTGGGGACCTGGGATGGGGACTCTGGCTCTTTGTCTCTCGGGTGAAAGCGCCTGCTCTTTCACCTGGGATTCTTTTCCTTCCTCCAGAAACACCAAAGCAGCACAGCCTGGATGGAGAAAGGACCATCGCGGGTGCACCAAACGCTCTGGATGCCTCCAGACCAGAAGTCCCAAGCACCCACAGGTCTGTCACTACAGCCCTCCATCACAGCATGAAAACAAGGCACTGGGAAGCCAAACTGTGCCCCCAAAATAAACCCAAGCACATATCTGAGAACCGAGTACCTAGGAGATGCCAAGGGCATCATCTCAGTGCCCCTTACCCACCACAGCCCCCAGCGCAAGCAGCCTCCTCCTCCTCTGGAAASAGGGGGAAATTCAGGCTGCACTACAGGTTTCTGGAGGATGGAGGAGAGGGAGAGGGAATCACAGCTCCTTTGCACCCCGCAGGCCCATGGGCTGCCCGCAGCCAGGGCAATCGCGTCCCTCTGGGCACATGCAGCACGATGCAGACCGGCTGCTCCAGAGATAAGAAAAGCAAAGACCGAAGGCTGCAGGTGCTGGGGCCAAGCAGGACGGAGCACAGGCCCAGCCTCATCCCCAGCCCACACACAGCRCCTCTCCTGGGAGCAGGATTAGGGCATATCTCTTAAGAGATACCTAATCTCCCTGTAACTGTGCCAGGCGATGGTGTCCAACACCTCCTCGGTCAGCCCTCCTCTCATTTATCTGCTGCTCTGACGGCCAATAAACTCGTGCGTGCTTCAAAGCTCAGCTTATCTGYCCGCAGCGCCCAGCCGCTGGAGCCGCCGGCAAGGTAGACGTGGCCTCGGGGAGCTCAGCGCAAAGGGCGACTGCTCCTTGATGCTCTGCTCAGGACGCATCCCGCTCCAAGGCACCTCGCACTGCAGGGCTGCGCTTGGCCCGGCATCCTCCCATGGCCTTTTCCACCTCGACAGGATCTTCCCACCCAACCGAGCTGGCTCCGGGCAGCATCGGAGCCACCAAGGAGCGGTGCTGGCTGCAGGAACGGGGGGAACCTGCAGCCTGAACCCCGCAGAGGACGGGTAGTGTCGGTCTGTGCCCCTCTCCGGGTCCTTCCCTTCACAGGAGGTTCAGCTGGTGAATCCGYGACTCCACTGCAGCACAGGGCAAAGGGACCAGCAAAGGGACAACCAGGGGATCCCTCTAAAGCAGCTCTCCGAGACCGAACTAACACAGCCCGGTCCTGTAGGAACAAGGGCTCCAGGCTTCCTTTGATTTTTCTTTTCAAAGTGCAAGGTAAAAAAGAAAACTGTCCCGGGGATGTGAGCAAGTCTGGGAAATTTTCAGGATGCAGAAGACAAGGAGCATGGATGTGGCAGAGCTGTAGCCTGTGGGGAAGGACACCAGCCTTTCCCACGCTTCTGACCCAAACCTGTATCCTGCTTGCGATAACCAGCCAGCACCAGCAGYGCTCAGGAGCCGGAGAAATTTGCAGGTTTTTCCACAGTTTATTCTAGTAGAGAGGCATGTTTCTTTTTCCTTTTTTTTTTTCCCTTGCAGAATCAAAACAATCTTTGTTTTCATGCCAGTTCCTGGAAGCGGTTCTCCATCACCTACCGCTCCAGATAGGTTTCCTCACACAGGAGAGTCTGTTCCCCATGCGCACCAGCACAATCCCCCACGGTTAGAGGGCAGTGAGCCCCACACCTGGAGGGCTTCTCTTGCTCTCCCGTGGCTCAGATGGGACTGGATGCCAGTAGATCCGAGCTGAAAGCCCTTTGCTTACCCAGCTCGCTGGCGGGAGGAGCCCTGGGGATGCACAGTGCATCTCCTAAGCTCAGCTCAATGCTGGCCCTGGCCACCACACAGCCATCCCCCATCCCAGGTCCCTGCTACCATGGAGCCCTTCCCAGGCTGGAGCAGGACATTATCCTGACTTCGAGCCTCTTCCTTCTCTTCCACCCACCTCTCGGTGCCACCCTCATCTCTCCTGGGTGATGAGTAGCACGCTGCACAGGATGGACACGCGGAGCTCTCAGGACCACAGCTTCCTCCCACTGGAAAGTGCAGTCCTTTGAGAAGGACTGTAAACAGGGACCTATTCCCATCCCAACTTAGCAATAATTCCCCAGTCCGAATCCCTTTAGACACCACTAGCATGGSGTCCAGCCAAAGGCAGCTTCCTTGGGGCAGTGTAGGGCTGCATCCTCAACAGAAAAACCTTTGTGCAGAGAAAGACAGAAGAAAAGAAGACCTGCCTGGACAGATCTGCATGGCCAAGGGGAGATGGATGGAGCAGCAGGTTTCCACCCCCAAAGCAGTGGCAGAGCGCAGGGATTTCCAAACCAGCAGCGTTTTCAGCCTTGCAGGGCAAGGAGCAGGATGGTTGTGGGAGCTCCCGCGGCAGCAACGTCCAGCGCTCCTGCAACCATCCAGCRAAACATGTGGCAAAGAGTAAAACCGGCAGCTTTAATGAGCTCAAATGTTTAGGAAAGCTGCAGAACTGGGGGAGGGGGACGGGAGAAGCAAGGCCTGGCGGGTGGCTCGCATGTGTGCGAGGGGGTGCCTGGACCTCCGCTCCGACAGAGATCCAACGCAGCGGCACGTGGAGCCCCTGCCTGGAGCGGCCCCTTCCAGGATCTTCCCTGGCTTTTAAATGCGGTTTGGCCGTGTGTCCTCGATGGACAGAGCACCATAGGCAGCAGAAGGCACAAGATGGGCTGGGTGCAGCACAGAGGGTGGGTGTCGGGATCACGTGCATGGGAAAGAAAGGGAAGAAGCAGCATTTTCAGAAGGGTGAGGTGAAGAAATGATGCCACCATCTTCCCTGCTTTCTGGGTGCTGTCCCCTCCCTGTTCTTCATGCCTTCAGGGACTACTGCAGCCATGGCAGGAGGGACAAAACTTGCCCATCTGCCGGTGCGTTGCTCCCGGGCCTGCTTGGCAGCGGRCGCCTCTCGCACCCACGAGACCTGGGGCCCAGTCTTGGCCCAAAGCAAGGCGGCCCGAGGCCTTGAGGCGCTGGGCGAGCACATGGGTTCCYGGGCACGTTATTCGTGCAGGACAGAGAGGTGTCCTGCACCCCAGCACAGGGAACGGGACAGAGGGCACAGCTTGATTTTGCCTCCATCGTCCTCGAAGAGCTTTTCAGTGCCCAACTCTCCTGGCATCAGTAGGAGCTCCCCATCTTCTCCTGCCTCTGCTGGGTGGGCTCTCAGCCAGACAGATGGGAGAAGCAGCCAGGTGCCCCCTTGCTGCCTTCCCGGTGCCCCGAACAATCTCAGGACGTTGGGAACAGCGGGAAGGTTGCTCACAGACCTAAACTTCCTTCATCTCCCCTGGGAAGGGGAAGGCAGCTGGAGCAGGAACCAGCCCTGGGGGTCACCGGGCAAGGAACCGGTGCATCCTCCCCAGTGCATCCTCCCCGGTGCACCCTCCCCATGCATCCTCTCGCAGCGTGTCCGGCCCCAAGCAGCACGGGCAGGAGGCCGGGAGCGCACRGCTGGCTGGGAGCTGGGGCCGCTCTGGCTCGGCAAACACCTCCTTCGGAAACTCAGCCTGTAATTTGAGGAGGGGGCACCAGCGCCCTGCAGCCCAGCTGAATGGAGCCATTATGCGGGCCCCTCCGGCTCGCAGCACATGTTTTCCTTGCGGGCTAACCTCATGGGCACAACAGAAAGGTGCATTTTATGGCCTGGGCCCCCTCTGCTCCACAAAAGCAACAGCCCAGGGAAGCTGCCCTTGGAGCCGGGACGGAGCCGCTCCGGGCGCTGCAGCAGCCAGGGGAGCGCGGCCAGCCCAAAGCCCCAGGGCTGCAGAAGCTGGGCTTGGCTTGAGGTGATGCTCTGCATAGCGATGAGCAATGTCAGCGGTGCGAGGGAGCGGCGACGAGGCTGCGCCGCCTCCCAGCGCCCTTCTCCGGCCAGGATAACAGGATGGGACCCCCAGCAGCACCCGGTGCCCCGGGAGAGCCAGGCTGTGCCCACACTCCCTCCTTGAAACCAACCCAGGTGTCCCGGAGCTGCTGGCTCTGCCATCCTGAGCATCCTGGGGCAGCTCCGCCAGGATGCCCAGAGCATCCCAGCCCAGGCTCCCGGGCTTTCCCTGCAGCAGGACTGCTCCAGAGGGAGCATGACCGTCTCCTCACAGCACGATCAGCCCCGTACTGGCTCCCCTCAACAGGAAAAATGCATTGCAGCACGACGGCTCCCTCCGTCATCCAGGTCCCATGTCCTGCAGTAGGACTGGATGGAGTGGGAACGGGACTGGGATGCTCGGGACAACGGGACACACCAGGCGGGCAGGATGGGGCCCCCATAGCACCACGAAGAGCAACAGGACCAGCTCCCCGCTCCCGAACCCGCTCGCCTGGGGCTCCTCACCSTTCCCCAGCACGGGACCCGTCACCCGCGGCTCCCCCCTGCTCAGCCCCGCACGGCCCCGTCCTCCTCCGGGAAGGAGCCCAGCGCCCGGGGCGGGGGACAGACGCGCTGCCCCGAGGGGCTGCCCCAGCCGCGGCCGGGCTCCCCGCCGCGCCCCCGCCGCTCCTACCCGGCGGCTCTGCAGACGTTCCTGCCGCGGGGGCTCAGCTCCTGCGCCGCCCCGCAGCCCAGCGCCACCAGCACCAGCACCAGCGCGACGCCCGCTCCGGCTCCCGCTCCGGCTCCGGTTCCCGCTCCGGCTCCTGCTCCCATTGCCGCTCCGGTTCCCGCTCCCGCTCCGG